ACACACACACACACACACACACACACACACACACACACACAGTCCAGGGTCACTGTGCAAAGACAGAAGCGCTCTGTAGGAGCAGAGGCAGCTTTAATCTGGAACAGTTTTAAAAAGCAATATGAACACAGATTATATCATGCTGACATGTTTGTAAGTCAGAATTTTCATGATGGAAAATTGTTTTGTGTGTATGTGTGTGTGTGTGTGGGGGGGTCTTTTTTGTGAGTATGGTGTGGTCAAGTGGAAAACAATTTTTACATAATAGTAAGAACAAAAACAGAGTGTTACACCTTTAGGTAATCTCCATGGCCTCTTTGGGAAACAAACTCCCATCTGGTCTGTAATTATTTGTTATCCCTTTTCCTCACTACAGTTGCAAACCACACACTGGTGATCCATGAAATCTATTTGACACYTTCAACCATCAGGAGTTGTTCATTAAACACTGCTTTTACAAAAGGACTGGATATTGGATAGGCCATGGATATACAAGTCTATTTTCTAGTTTAATTTTAGATGTTCAAAAATTTTTCATACCTAAAATTTACTTTAAACGTGTCAATAACATCTGTCCAGATGTTTATAAGATATTTTGACAATAGACAGCCTGACAAACACACACAGRCAGGCAATTACGATCACTTTTCCTTCATGACCACTGACAATAAAAATAATGAAACCCAGTTACTGTATCTGTTCATTTATCTTATTATATATACACACACATTATAAACTCTGGCTAGTCAGAGCTCATTTATTTTAAATGAAATATGTTTCGATTTCCATTTACTAAAAGGTTGGGTATTCTAAAAGAAAAGCCCTGAGTTAGGATTGAATGAGATAAACCAGATGTATTTTCTGTACTTCACCATTCTCTATAAATGAATGTGTTGATAGGTTTAACTTAATGAAGTCAGGCCAGTCGCTTTGACCTTTGTGGTCATWTAGTTCCTTACTTTATCCCACCTGAAAGACATCACAGGACACATGATGGACCCCCCACAATTTGCCTACTGGGCAAACAGATCAGTGGATAATGTTGTGAACATCAGAGGAGGGAGGGGGGCAGGATTCTCTGTTTGGTTCCAGAAGGAGATTAATTGGTGGGTCCTGTYTGACTGAAGAGAGACTGAAGAGATGATTGTGACCAGGGTCCAAGAACTGAAGAAGAACCAACTAACATGAAGCAGWAAGTAAATTCATTAGTCACAATTACTCAAAGAGGTGACAAAGGCTGGGAGAACAAATCACCAAGTGACCTTATCGATCCAACGAAGAACAATGACACRGCTGCTCCTTAAGTATGATGAGGAGAAATCAGCAGGAATCACTGACAGCTTGTGRCACAGAGCCAAGAACGCCCACTCAGCTTTTGCTCTGAGAGGGAAGTGATTTGTAGAAACAAACACACAACCACCTGAATGCCTCAGACGTTTCACCGGCTGCTCGAGGTAAAAAGTARAGACGAGGTCAGAGTCCGGAATGAATGAGCAAGGGATCCAGGAACAGGATTATAACCTTTATCAGGGGATTATGAGCATATTCTACCCAAGTTAACTGTGAAATCCAAGCAGATGGATTATTGTTGATTATGCAATGTAAAGTAGAATCAAGCTCCTGATTAATACAGTCTGCCCAGTCGACTGTGGGTGATAACCAGAAGGGAGATTGACCGAAGYTCCAAGGGTGTTGCAGCGTTCCAGATTTGTAATGTAAATTATCGTTCTGTATCCAAAACCAAATCCAATGGAATACCACAGTAGCTTTGTACCTGTGCCTGAGCCACTTGTGGAGCTGAGGGTAGCTTAGGAAGAGGTACAAAATGTGCTGCCTTAGGATATCTGKCAACAATAGTGAATGTTACCTTCAGATGCAGGTGATGAAATAGTAAGAAATGTGGGACAAAGGGCAACGTGGTATKGAGAGAGGTTGGAGTTGGTTAGAAATTACAAAGTTGGATTTGGACAAATGTGACACAAACTCTTTGTGATCGTGGGCCACCAGAAATACCTGTCAGTGAAARCAGAGTGTGATGTGTTCAAGGTGGSCAGATTGGAGCCATGMACCCACTGGAGAACTTKTGACCTCAAAGATATAGGGACAAGTAATCAATTAGGGAATCCAGTTCCAGGATCTGGATCTGCTACCTGTGTTCTCGATRTTTTTGATTCCCCAAGTGATGACTCCTACGATGCATGATGTAGGCAAGATATTATCAATGCTTTTTGATTCATCAGAGAATTGCCAAGACAGTGCAATGGACTTGATGTTTCTAGAACCTGGGTAATAGGAGATAGAGTTGAAAATGGGCACAAAAGACTGACCAGGCTTGGCAGGCATTAGGCCTCTCAGTGTATTGCAGGTAGGCCAAGTTCTTATGATCTGTACCAATTCTAAAGTGATGCTTAGCCTCTTCCAACCTACGGTGCTATTGTTCCAGAGTACACGGTGAGCACTTTTCGATTGCAAACATCATAGTTTAGTTCAGCAAGGTTCAGACAGTAAGAAAAGGTGGAACAGGAATGAACTTGAATTGACGTCAAGGATGAACTGGTGTTCAGAGTTTGGATGAGTTAAGATGGGAGAAGTMGTGTAAAGATCTTTTAACTTACAGAAAACCCTAGTCCGCTTCTGGAAGCCAGGTGAAGGGTCGGTGGATGGATGTGAGTTGAGCGAGAAGTAATGCTTGTGTGACTGTAGTTTCGGATAAATCTGCAGTAGTAGTTGGTAAAAACAAGGAAGCATTGAATCTGTTTGTGGATGGAGAGAATGGGTCACTGACAAACTTTTATTTTTTCCAAGTTCATCTTCACTTGTCTGCTGTCAAAGATGTTACTGAAAACAGGGACTCTGAAGACATAYKTTTCTGCTTTTAGTTTWTTWTTTTTTTAAATAAAGCATACGGAGCAGACAGAACACTAGCCTTGTCTGTTATGTTGTTMGGTGTTTACTAAAAAAATTAATCAAAATGTTCAAGTCATCATCTTTTCACACAACTGATCTACAACAGTTTGTACCTCTTGTTCCATCTACACTGTTGCGCTGGACTAATTACTGCATTCTTTGTGTTTTTCTGCTTTTAACATACTTTATGTATACAATCAGTTCAATGTGTCTGTAAATAAACTTTTATTGTGCTACTTGAGAAGAACTGCCTGCCAGAGCCAAATTATTTGTGTTAGACGCTTGGCTGATAAATCAGAATCTGATTTACAGTCAAAATATCCCTTGATGTTTCTTCTAAACTGCCAACAAACTTTGCCCCTTTTTAAAGTTCAAAACTGTGTAGGAAGACAGACTCGTGTACATGACTCTACAAAGTCATGTTAGAATAAAACAGGAAACGAGCCAGTTTTCACAAAGGCCTCTGCTGCCATCTGGTGGTGAAAACATCAAACTGASAAGCTCACAAAATGAACAGACTTGAAAACGTGACATATAAAAACAAAATTTATTAGCAATCACAGGGAGAAAAAAAATGCATGACATATATAGGCATATTTGTTTGAATAAAAATGCTAACGTCTTATTTACAAAGTCTGCAATTGAATGTGAACAAGCCCAGCATATGCCCATAAAAATTGCAAGTAGGCTTTATTATTATTATTATTATAATTATTATTACACAGCTTTCTGCAAAATGATCCACGCTGTCATCCAAGTGAGCAGCCCCTCACTGCTGCGGTCCCAATATTTTATAAATACAATTAGGACAATCATCATCATCAGACACTAAAMAACATGTTGGTAAACAGTGTGACCATGACGACATGCAGTCTCGTCTTGCAGGGACATGATTCAACTTGCTCCAGAGAGACCCTCACAAGCTTGGGAAAAAACAACTAATGAGCTGTATCTACCAGGTGATAGTGGTAAACATCAGAAATTATAATCTTAACAATAAAAAGAAAGAAGAAAAAGCCACATACAGAGGAGACAACGTCATTCTTGGACTGCTGAGGCTTTAACAAAAACTCACAGGCATCTGGACCGTGGTGAGGCAAAGGATGGCCCATATGGAGCATCCAACTCTTCAAAGGAGTCCTCCGCTCTGTGAGCTCAGTCTTGACTAACACTGGCTTTCTATCATCCGGCCCCAAAAACATAAAACATGTTTTGAGACAGACACCTGGGGACGTTCAGGCTCTTTTCCTGTTTAAAAAGCAATCCCTAAACAACCTGAGTTGCATCCACACTTAAACCCACCTTTCAGAAATTACAGAAGACTCAAAGGCTACAAAGTGAGACAGAATTTAAATTACCCAGCAACCAAACACAATGTAACATTTTCCCACATTTACCCTACAATACTTCATTCCTCCCCTGCACTACAGTACTGTTTAGACATTGTAATGTGTTGATGTGATTTTGAAACGTAAATGAGATTGTCAAGTAGTGGCGTTAAGTGTAAACCATGGGATCTTCACAGCGTCTATTCCGAGTCTTTATGTATAATCGTGGGTTAGAAACTTCAGTGGGTAATAACCATCTCATTGGGACACACTTACAGTCAAAGGCACTTAAAACTTCACTAGGGGATTTTTGCCTCAAGCCACCTTTCCACTAAAATTTGAAGTTATATGTAAACCCGAGTCTGAGTCACCTGGGAGCACAGACACTTCTATGTGCTGATAAAACAGGAGTATCAGGAAGCAAAAGCATTAACAAAAAGAAATTATCTGGCAAATACCTCCTTAAAACTGCAATCAGTGTTCGGGTGAACACTAAATGTCTGACAGGAAATAAAGCAGAGGTTTGTAGAATTCCTCAAGTCTGGAAACAGCAAACTGCAGTACCATTAGATTCCTGGCAAGCTTAAAAACAAACCCAAAAAAAGGATACTTCTATGTGTACACAAACACAGAGCATTACTGATAAGGCCTGACGTGTGTGAACAATCACTAACAGTAGTGAGACTCCAGACGGTTGGGGTAACGGTAGTGCTGTACAGGAGAGAGGGGGCTGGGGGCTACACAGCTACGGTAGTGTACAGGGTGAAGCGGGTGGTGGTGAGCGGAGAGCTGGATTACTTCACAGAGGCAGTGCGAGGGATGACTGTGGAGGACCCGTGATCACAGCGGGGGGGCTGAGGTCAGAGGAACAACTGGGCGGAGTAAGACGGGCAGCTTCAGCTTCTCCGCGACTTTGAGTGCTGGATGAGCCACTGCAGTGTGATGTCTGCAGGTGAGAGAGAAATATTTGATAAGAACATTAATATTACAGGGTTAGGAAACAATGGGCCTCATGCAACGACATGTTCGTATTCTTATCCTAAATTTCTCTTACTTTTGTTCGTACAAAGGGTTCGTACGAACATGTCACGTCAGATTCAACAAACTCTTCTATCTTCAGGAAAAGTGTGTAAATGAGCTGCATAAATTCCACCTGTTTGTATCCAGCTGCTCGTGCACGCGAGAGGAGATTAGCATAATTACCACCCCAAAAACACCATATAAGGCTATGTTTCCTGCCTCAGATACAAGGAAGTGTCCATTCATGAAAATGACAGCGAAAATTAAAAAGAAAAACTTTACGAGTTCAGAGATTGAAGTCCGTCTGTCAGAGATCCAGAAAAGAAAATCTGTCATTTTTAGCAGGTCAGCTGTGGAATAAAAAGAGCTGCTAAAAGTATAAACAACTGTGTTAAATCATTTTCATTTATTCAGAAGACTGCTCGTAAAATATACGACAGGTCTGGACCACTCCTGAATTTTGTTCGTATCTAAAAAAATCTTAGAATACAAAAACATTGGTGAATGCCACAAATTCTCCTAAATCACTCGTACGCACAACTTAAGAACAAATCTGTGCGTACGAACGGTTCTTGCGTGAGGCCCAATGATATGGTGTTTCAGTTGATGTTACTTCCTGGTTGGCACGCCAACATGCTAAAAGGCAGGATTCCTACACCAAGTATGGAATTCATTCTTTGTATTTTCTGGGTCTGGATAAGACTGCATTTTCTAAAAACTGAATTGCTAAAACAAGCAAAGCATTAGGCACGGACTGTTTTTAGTATCAGGAATGAAAATGAAACTTTATTCATTTAGCATTAATTGTTTAGGCACATCCTAACAAATCCTTTGAATTGTGTGAATGGTTTTAGAGTGAGCATGGTACTATTAGTGTGTTAGCAGCTCTGTTTTCTCCACGACCTTTATCATGCATTTGAATAAGGCTGGATCGGTAAATTTGGGAAAACACCCATCAGTAGCTGCGTTTCCATTGCAAGTGTGCACAAAACTTTAGTTAATGTCGAAAAAACACAGTTTCACAATTGCTGTGTTTCCAGTAAGTTAGAAATGCTTTTAAAGCCATGCGTGAATGTTTGTTTTCGCGATAATTCAGTACAAACATGGCGGCAATGGACGTAAACACATAGCATATTTCTACCACGACACTACCGCTCATCATCAGAGGAGACGTCGGAAGGGGTAGACATAAGGACATTTTTCAGGTTGTCCAGCAGACAACCTGTTGACAAAACCTGGTTGTCCACAAAACATTTTGGTTATCCAAAAGATTCTCAAGAAAAATGTAATTTAACAAGTATGTTATTCTGTAGAAAAACTTTATTATATATAATTGTTCTGAGTCAGCCAGGTTGACAGGATCTGCGTGAATAAAACTTCCTCATTCTCTTCTTTGAAATAGAGTATTTAAGGCTCAGGGAGTAAAGCAACAAAAATGTTGCTAATAAAATCTAGAGGTTACCCAACATTCATAAACTTCTTTCTGCTCATAGCTCAAACATTTTCACTTAAATAGGAGTATCCTGTGTACATGACCTTATTAAAAGTTACAGTTTAGTGTTCTGTTCAGTTTTACCAAGTTTTTTTCTCCCTTTCATTTTTACAAATGACGGAACCCCGCAACAGAGAACTTTAATCAAGGTCTTTTTGGAGACAGTATCTGGTTGTCTGAAATGAAAATAGGTTGTCTCGGACAACCTAAACAATGGTTATGTCTACCCCTGCGTCGGCATCTTAGCGAGGCTTTCCAGCAACAAGCCCCTCATACTTGGGAGCGGCTACGTAAGCGGTGGTTTTGGGAAATTGTAGTTGATGAGTTTACCACTTTCTTTTACAACTTCTTTGATTTTACTACTATTTCTACTTCCTGTTGTCGTCCTTTTCACCAGTAGAAACAGCCGGTCCTTCATCACGTGACTCCTGTGACGCAAAAAAAGCTTTTCCATTGCAGTTTTGCGAAATACACCAATTTCGATACGGCCGTAAAGCCAAACTCATCCTAGAGCAAAACCATTTTGTCGAAAAACGTGTTTTTTCAAAATTGACGTGTTTCCATTGAGCAAATTTGTTTTCAAAATTCTAATTTGCACATTTTCATGGTGAATGGAAATGCAGCTAGTGCCAAGTCATGCTGCTCTTAATACCATCAAATAGGTGTTTCCATTTAGTTTCTGCATTTTTGAAAAGCCCTGCAGCTCCCTCCCTCTCTGACATCAGGATGCAGCTACAGGTATCAGGTCTCCACTAACCTGTTACTGTGTCACCATTAGCATGAGGCCAGTAGCTTTAATAATAATAATAATAATAATAATTTACACAAATTTTTTTGAAAGTTTGAAGATCTGCCATTTTAGACAGTTTTCTTATTGACCTTTTAAGGAAAGCTTTTTGTTGTTGACTGATTTTTCT